GTGATGGCTCATGCCTGTAATCCCAGCACTTTTGGATGCCGAGGTAGGTGGATTGCTTGAGCCCAAGTTCAAGATCAGCCTGGGCAACATAGCAAAACCCCATCTCTACAAAAAATACAAAAATTAGCTGAGCATGTGGGTGCATGCCTGTAGTCTCAGATGCTTAGGTGGTTGAGCTGGAAGGATTCCTTTAGCCCAGGAGGAGGCTGCAGTGAGCTAAGATCAAGCCACTGCACTCCAGCCTGGGCGACAGATCAAGACCTTGTATTAAAAAAATATGCATTTTTAAAATTTATTTATTTTGGGGGGGCTTAGTCTCGCTCTGTTGCCCAGGCTGGAGTGCAGTGGTACAATCTCAGCTCACGGCAACCTCTGCCTCCTGGTTCAATCGATTATCCTGTCTCAGTCTCCCGAATAGCTGGGATTACAGGCAGGCATGCCCAGCTAATTTTTGTATTTTTAGTAGAGACAGGGTTTCACCATGTTGGCCATGCTCACTGGTCTTCAACTCCTGACCTCAGGCAATCCGCCCAGCTCAGCCTCTCAAAGTGCCGGGACTATAGGTGTGGACCACGATGCCTGGCCTATATATGCATTTGATATCACAATAATTTTTTTTTTTTTCTGAGATGGAGTCTCACTCTGTCACCCAAGCTGGAGTGCAGGTGCATGATCTCAGCTCACCACAACCTCCACCTGTCTGGTTCAAGCGATTCTCCTGCCTCATCCTCCCAAGTAGCTGAGATTACCAGCATGTGCCACCACACCTGGCTGATTTTTATATTTTTAGTAGAAACAGGGCTTCACCATGTTGGCCAGGCTGGTTTCGAACTCCTGACCTCTAGTGATCCACCTGCCGTGGCCTCACAAACTGAATTAAATTTTTTAATGATATACAGGGAAAATGGAAAGCTAGTTGTTACAAAAGAATGCCAACTAAAAATGTAATAGTGTAGAAAATAACCTATATGTGATGGTTTATTTTCAATTCTAAGTGCCTTAGTCTTAAGTCAGCTACATGGAAATAAAGAGATAAAGAAGCAGAGTGTACAGAGTCACTGGCCCCTCCTTCCTGCCTTCCCTTTCACCCAGGAGCCAGGTGCCTATCAGTAAGGGCCCCCTCAACTACCTGCACCCAACCCCACAAATAATTTAGTTTAGCCTAGCTTGCAACATAGATAATTGTACCCTTTCTTTTTTTTTGGAGACAGAGTCTCGCTCTGTCACCCAGGCTGGAGTGCAATGGCGTGGTCTTGACTCACTGCAACCTCCGCTTCCCAGGTTCAAGCACACCATTGCACTCCAGCCTGGGCAAAGAGCAAAAACTTCACTTAAAAAAAAATAATAGGCCAGGCATTGTGGCTCTCACCTGTAATCCCCACATTTTGGGAGGCCAAGGCGGGTGGATCACTTGAGATCAGGAGTTCGAGACCAACCTGGCCAAAATTGGCCAAACCCCATCTCTACTAAAAATACAAAATTAGCCAGGTGTGGTGGTGAGCACCTGTAATCCCAGCTACTCTGGAGGCTGAGACAGGAAAATTGGCAGAACCTGTATGGTGGAGGTTGCGGTGAGCCAGGATCACACCACTGCACTCCAGCCTGGGTGACAGAGTGAGACTCCATCTCAAAAGAAAAAAAAAAAAGAAGAAAGAATGTGTGACAACTTCTCACACTTCTAAATTTGAGCTGGAAAAAGGGAAAAGAAAACAATCTTTTTACCCTTAAACTTGCACGAAGGGACCCATATGACTTGCCAAGCCAGACTTCAGACTGTTAAATGTTTGCATACATAATGTATCACATTTTGTGGTCCAGATTTTATCAAAGTATTAATAATTGGCTGGGTGTGGTGGCCCATACCTGTAGTCCCAGCACTTTGGGAGGCTGAGGCAGGTGGGTCACCTGAGGTCAGGAGTTTGAGACCAGCCTGACCAACATGTTGGAACCCTGTCTATACAAATAATACAAAATTAGCCAGGTGTGGTGGTGCATGCCTGTAATCCCAGCTACTTGGGAGGCTGAGGCAGGAGAATCGCTTGAACCTAAGAGATGGAGTTAGTCTAAGATCACACCATTGCACTCCATCCTGAGCAATAGAGTGAGACTCCATATAAAAAAAAATGTATTAAAAAACTAAGAATCCAAAGATGTAATTGGGTTTCTGTGCCTTGGGGTTTTAAAATCCCACCTCTTTTGGCCAGGCACAGTGGCTCACGTTTATAGTCCAAGCGCTTTGGAAGGCTGAGGCGAGCAGATCACCTGAGGTTAGGAGTTTGAGACCAGCCTGGCCAACATGTTGGAACTCTGTCTCTACAAAATATACAAAAATTAGCCAGGCTTGATGGCACACCCCTGTAATTCTAGCTATGAAAATTGCTTAAACCTGGGAGGCAGAGTTTGCAGTCAGCAGAGATCCCACCACTGCATTCCAGCCTAGGTGATGGAAAGAGACTGTGTCTACAAAAAAAAGCAATAAATAAAATTCCACCTCTCAGAGAGTAGTGATGGGAAGGTAGCAAGGGGGTTTCAGGGCTGCTAGAAATGTTCTACTATTTTTTTTATCTGGGTCCTGGTTATGTGAGTGTTTTCAGTTTCTTAAAATTCAGTGTAGTGATATGTTTTCTGGGAAAAATGTAAATGTCTAACAATGGGAATTGAAGAGAAATTATGCACTTCTGGTTTCTTTTTTTTTTTCTTTTGAGTCTTTTCATTTCTTTTTTTTAATTGCATTTTAGGTTTTGGGGTACATGTAAAGAACATACATGATTGTTGCATAGGTACACACATGACAGTGTGATTTGCTCTCTTCCTACCCATCACCTATATCTGGCATTTCTCCCCATGCTATCTCTTCCCAACTCTGCACCCCCCAGTCGCTCCCATATTTCCCCCTGACAGAACCCAGTGTGTGATGCTCCCCTCCCTGTGCCCATGTGTTCTCATTGTTCAACACCCACCTATGAGTGAGAACATGTGGTGTTTGATTTTCTGTTCTTGTGTCAGTTTGCTGAGAATGATGGTTCTCAGGTTCAGCCATGTTCCTACAAAGGACACGAACTCATTGTTTTTTATGGCTGCGTAGTATTCCATGGTGTATATGTGCCACATT